TGTTTCTACTTTTACTGTAGATTAAGAGACCAGCAAAGCAAAAGTAAAATCTCCAGGAGAGAGAGAGCATGGTGTTGTTTGACTCCTCTGCATCAGGCTGTCTCAGAACACACAGTGGCAGCAGGGGTGGGGCCCTCTCTCAACTGAATGTCTGCAGCCCAGAGAAGAAGTCATAAACAGATACAAGTTACACACATTACGACACCCACACTTACATTACATCATCTCACCAGAGTATCTTCCATACTAGTAACCCAGCCATGCCACCATTCAGCAACTGTTTGCATTCCAGATCCTCCTCATGTGTTCGAAGCCAGGAGAGAGACCGGGGGTGTATGGATAGATTCATCCATGTTGCAAGAGCCTGAGGTGTAAACAGAAATTCAGAGAAGGGCGGCACGCTGGCAGGGAGCTGAAGGACACAATTCCAACTGGCTGTCCTGGAATGTTCCTAAAACTGAAGGGAAGGGTGAAATGATGGCTGAGAGCAAAAGCCAATAACTGGAGAGGGAAATATGGAGAAATCAAAAAATGCACCCAAAGAAGGCAGGGGGGCTGGTAAACAATTTGTGTAGTGGGAGTGCTGAGATTCATTGAACCAAACTGTAAACTCTGTATGTAATGGAAACTACTTCAAGCCAGGGGGTGTGGCAGCAGCCTCTGCACCCCTCGTTCCAGCACCTATGAAGGAAAGACCGGAGGGGAGCAATTTCTGGGTAAGGGCCCAAGGGAGCCAAGGAATGGGCCAAAGGGGAAGTCCACCTGAACACACAGCTTCCCAGACACCTGCATTTTCAGTAAGAAATCCAAGGCAGACAGCTGGCTGCAGAGAGGCAATGGATCAACTTCAATACAGTCTGTTTGTTGGAAATGATGGAAGCTGTATACAGGGGTTAACATCCCCCATGGTTTGAAAGATCACAGAGATTATATCCAGCAGCCCCCATTCTCACCTGAGGCTTCTGTAACACAGGAATCCCTCACTGTGACTTTTGGATACTTCTCCAAACCATTTGTGAGTCCTGAATGAAGCTTTAAAAAATTTCTAGCAAAACAAAAAATAACAAAACATTTTCTCTGAAATTCTTGCCAGTTTTTTTTTGTTTCTCATCAGCACTGATCCTATTGGGATCTGGGAAGTGGGCGGGCAAAGCCCAAACACTGCTAAAGGACCCCCCCCCCTCCCCCAGCCTAAGAGGAGGATCCACAGGACCTGGACACCAAATAAATCCGGGGGACAACAAATGAAATAACAGGGACAGGAGTGTGGTCAAAGGGTCAAACGAAGGGAACCGGATGGGGACACCGAGCAGAGAACCCCAGACAGCGCCTCTCCTAGGCAGGAAATTCTATAAATCTTTCTGGAGAGATTTCTGGGACTTTGTGAATTGTTTTGTCTTCCTAACATTTCCAGTCCCAGCTGGAATTCAGAGGTGCACAAAACTGAAATACAAGCATGAATGGAACATCTCTGAGCCTGAAAAAATTTCACCTTGAATTTGGAGCAATGTTTTGGGGTTGGCTCTTGTTTCAGCTGAACTTGGTTGCCAGTCCATAATCAAAATACATCTGCTGTGTGCACAAAATCTCTGCAAATTGCAAACGATGCCAAGCAGGAAGGATGCCATGCAATGTTAAAGTGTAACAAAAATACCCAGAAGCAAAAAAATACAGGGAAGAAATGGAACAGTGAGAAGTGTGCAACATACAAAATAACTTTGGTTGCATTGTGGATGGAGCAGAAAAACAAGCCCAACAAGTTGTTCCAGTGTCTATCTATAGCATTGTGAGCTCATAGTTTCTTATAGCCTGTGGAGACTATTCAAACTATGGAAAGCATGTGTTTATACACCATCTCTATGTCGGTAGAGAACAAACCAAAACCAGCGAGACTCTAGACTGTCTGGAATTGACCCTTGTGTTGGCAGCGGCCTGGGCTAGTATCAAGCATAAATGCTTGGTGGGAGATCAGAATCATAGAATCTTAGAAATGTGGGACTGGAAGGGAGCTCAGTAGGTCATCTAGTATGGTCCTCTTGCACTGAGGCAGGACTAAGTATTATCTAGATCATTCCTGACAGGTGTTTGTCTAACCTGCTCTTAAAAACGTTCAGTGATGGAGATGCCACAATCTCCCTAGGCAATTTATTCCAGTGCTTAACCACCCTGACAGTTAGGAAGTTTTTCCTAATGTCCAGCCTAAATCTCCTTGTTTGCTATTTAAGCCCATTGGTTCTTGTCCTATCCTCGGTGTTTAATGAGAACAATTTATCACCCTTCTATTTATAACAACCTTTTATGTACTTGAAGACTGTTATCATGTCCTCCCTCAGTCTTCTGTTCTCCTGACTAAACAAACCCAACTGTTTCAATTTTTGCTCATAGGTCGTGTTTTCTAGACTTTTAATCATTTTTGTTGCTCTCCTCAGGACTTTCTCCAATATGTCCACATCTTTCCCAAAGGGTGGTGCCCAGAACTGGACACAGTAGTACAACTGAGGCCTAATCAGTGCTGAGTAGAAGGGAAACATTACTTCTTGTGTCTTGCTTACAACACTCTTGCTGATACATCCCAGAATGATGTTTCTGTGTTTCGCAACAGTGTTACATTGTTGACTCATATTTAGTTTGTGACCCACTATGACCCCCAGATCCCTTTCTGCAGTACTCCTTCCTAGGCAGTCATTTTCCATTTGTATGCATGTGTAACCCACACACCTCCTGGGTGTGGTGCTCTGTCCCCTCTAGTGGCACTGAGACCACTTAGCGATTAATGAGTCTGCAACAGCCTTAGCTAAGGGCTTTTAGCTCACGCAGTAGAGTCTCATGCATTTAGCTCCAGAGGTCCCAGGTTCAATCCTGTCCGTCGACAGCTGGGCTCTGTGGATGTTACACATGCAATTGCTTGTTCCTTCCTAAATGTAGTAGTCTTCTTCTTCTTCAATGCTTAGCCAAACCGTCAGCGGTAGTGATCGTTCGCCATTTGATCCGTTCCTGTGTGGCCGCAAAGGCTTGATGGGCCAAGAGTCCAATCCATGTAATACAGAGTCTGCCCCTGGGCTGCCTCCAGCCCTTGGTCAGTGGAATTTTATCCTGCATGTTACAAGCCACCTGGAGAACCGTGTTCGCTGGAACATCTTGTGGCATTCTCGCGACATGTCCAAAAAGCGTAAGGCGCCGTCTGTAGACAATGGCCCCAGTATTCTGTAGACCGGAGTGACTGTAAACATCTGCATTACAAATGAAATCATTCCACTTTATGCCCAACATATGACATTGGCATTTTGTGTGGAAAGCCTCCAGCTTTGCCCGGTCTGAACGGCGTAGTGTCCATGTTTCGCAACGCTATAGCAGGACAGAGATGATACGGCTCGAATAGATCCTGAACTTGGTTGTTGTGCTGAGACGATGTTGATTCCATATTTGTTGTAAATGACCCTTGGCAGACATTGCAATGTCAATCTGGTGGAGAGTTGGAGGAACTGGTGAGTGTAGAACCCAAATAGCAAAAGCTGGAGACTCCTTTTACAGTTTCATTATTCAAAGCGATTGGAATCATGGGTGGACCCGATCTTAGATTTTGCAGCTTTGTCTTTGAGCATGAAACATGGAGGCCAAACTTGGCCGACTCCCCCTTCATTTGCTGGCGTGCCCCATGAAACCTGCTGGGGCTCTGTACTAAAGGAACAACATCATCCGCATAGTCAAGGTCTGAGAGTGAGAGATCACAGATCTTAATGCCCATGGGCCTGATGGCATGCTGAATTATGAAATCCGTTGCCCGACAAAAGGGTGCAGGGGCTAAGACACAGCCCTGCCTGACACCAGATAGTGATTTAAAAGGTGCCGATACCTGATTCCCCAGATGTGCATGGGCAGTGGTTCCAGTGCAGCTCGCTAATCGAGTCCAGCAGGGTGGTTGGGACACCTACACCCTTTAAGGCCTTCCATAGCACAACTCACTCAATTGAATCAAATGCAGCCTTAAGATCCACATACGCCACATGCTGGTGCTTCTTAAAGTCACGGTGTATCTCCGACAACAAGCAGAGGGCCAAGATGGCGTCTAATGTGGACCTTTCCTCATAAATCCTGAGTGTTGGGGATAATGCTTCCGAGGCACCAGGGGCTCCAAACATGCCTGCAGAGCACGCGCAAACACCTTCCCTGGAACGGACAACAAGGTGATCAGCCTGTAGCTCGTACATTCACTGCACGGTCCTGAGCCCTCATAAAGTGAGATCACAATACCGTCCTTCCACGCAGTTGGCAAGGTTCCAGTTCTCCACGCCTGGTGAAAGATGGCCAGAAGTGATTTCGCTACAGGGTCAATAGCACATTTTAGCAACTCTGGGAGGATGCCATCACCACTGGCTGCACGTCCGTTTTTCAGTTTGCAGATGGTACACTTCACTTCATCCAACATTGGTACATCAGTCCAAGTGTCTGGGTCTGAACCCACAGTAGCTGTGAATCATCCAGCTCTGAGCAAGCACCAGCTGGAGGGTGGGTCAGGGCACTGTGATAATGTTCCACCCAGCCAGAGAAGATGTCATCATCCAATTTACATGGATGACCTTGGCTGTCGTTCAGGATGCCGTTCATAGCGACTACTCTTGAGCACTGAGACTGCGGATTGTGTGGAATGCTGGCTTGTCTCCCCTGGCTCAGCCAAGTTCAGCGTCATCCGCCACTTGGTTATAACATGCCTCGCAACTGCAGGACTTTGCATTTTTCATGATTGCATTTCATCCTATTTATTTCAGACCATTTCTCCAGTTTGACAAGATCATTTTGAATTCCAAACCTGTCCTGCAAAGTGCTTGCAACCCCTCCCAGCTTGGTATTGGCTGCAGACTTTATAAGTGTATTCTCCATGTGCTCATCTAAATCAATTAGGAAGAGATATTTAATACAAGGTGTTCATTGTCAGTCACCATGCCCCACTGTTAGAGGGGAGACGTATCTGCTGGGCAGGCCAGCAATGACAGAGTACAGAAATGAACTCTGGCTTTGCCAGGAGAAAACACGGGGGCTGTTCAGTTTAAAGAGCCAAGGGAATGGATTGCAGGAAAACTCCATGCCAACAAGGCTAGAGCAGAAGAGGAGGTTTGGTTTACAGATGGTGGTAGCCACTGTGTCCAAGGACAAAGGAAAGGAGGTTTGGCAGCAGTGAAATTAATGGATGGAATGGTCCTAAGTACTTTGCAGTACAACTGTGGGAGTCGGCCAGCTCTGTATGCAGAAGGAGCATCAGTTAGCAGCCTGCTGATGGATGAAACCGGGTCCCGCTCCAAGCTCGCCATAGTTCTGGATTCGGATTGGGTATTCAGGGGAGCTGTGGTACTGCTGGCCTGAGGGGCTCGGAACAAGTATTGGGCTATGGATGGAGGCGAGCTTGAATCCAGCACTGTGTGGGAAATGTTGGTTGATGTAGCCAAGCAGTTTGACAGAGTGGAGATGGTTAAAATTTGGGGCGCATAGGAAAAAGGGGTCTCAGTAAAAGGGATTCAGGAAGCCGACTTAGTAGCCAAAGTTGTAGTAGTAACTAGACCTCCCTGGCCATGGGAGATGGCATTGGAAACTATCCCAGTAGCAGTTTGCACTCTGGGTCAGCAGCAGCAGCAACAAGCAAAGGCAGAGCGGTTACAAAGCATCCAGAATCAGGATTCAGCATTAGGTCCTCTCTGGGAGTGAACTCATAGGCAGGGTGTGAAGGTAGAAGGTCAGGACTGAGTAATGGAGCAAGGACTCCTAAGTGTGAAACCAGAAGATGATTTGGTCTGGGTTGTACCATGGGATATGTGACAAGATCTGTTATTGTGGGTGCATGGAGTGTGCTCACCCCAAACAGGCCAAGGCCAGAGACGGGTTGGCAAAAATGGGGTGGTGGCCCAAATGGGAACAGTACCTAAAGGAACATCTTGATTCTTGTCTGGTTTGTGCCAGACACGATCCAGCAAACAGAAAACAAAGCAGGACTCTTATGAACCAGGCACCCAGGTGGTCCATGGGAATGGATTCAAATTGACTCTAAAGGGGAGTTGCCCTTCATGCCATAGGGTAACAGGTGTGTTAGTAGATGTGGATACTTTTTCACACTGGTGGAAGCCTTCCCCACTAAAAACATGACCGCCATCACTACAGCTGAACAACTGGGGCACAGTCTGCTGTGGAATGGGGGTACAAAGGTAATGGATTCAGACAATGGTAGCGGATTTGTGGGGGCTGTTGCCGAGGAAGGTGCACGCTGCTGGGTATCGACCAGAAGTTCTACATCTCCTGCCCTCCAGCAGAGCCATCCTAGCCAGGCAAGTGAATAGGACCATTACATGTGAACAAAGAAATGAGGTCTTACATATGCCAAGTTACTCATGGGCAAAATCACTCAGGCTTTGGGCCTGCGGAGCTCTGTTGTGGAAATCTTGCTGAGTGCCAGAGCAGCTCTGAGGAGCTCAGTCTGTGCCAACCTGCCGTGGATACAGGGTGGTGTATTTAGCTAAAGGCCACAAGCGAATCTTCCTGCCTGGGTCTGTGTGGCTTGGGCCTACAGGCCCTATTCATGTTAAAGCAGGGGAGGGGAATTGGTGGGAGCTGGCATCCAATTCCCTGTGAAAATCCCTGCTCCTGGTGAAATCGATTCTGAGTCTTTTCAAGCCCTGAGCTCTGCTGAAAAGCGGTTACTGGCCCCAGCCCCATGCCAGGAGGTGGGCGGGGGGCTGTGTGTAGGTCCCTCCTACCAGACTCCACCCCCACCCTTTCCTCTCGCCAGACATCTGCTCACGCGCTGTAACCCAAGAGTCATCTCTGCTGTGCCCATGTGCGTCCTATGTCTCTGGGAACACACTCTGAACCCTGCATGCTGCATGGGCAGCTGATGACGTGAAATTACCTGTGCATTGCCGCTGGGCAGATTCTAGGGCTTTATCCAGCATGGGCTTCAGATCCCAGCAATATCTGGATCTGCCTGTAATGCACCCTGACGCCTGCCCAGTAGATCCTAGAGGCCCTACTATATCTGTTATAGTCTAGCTGGGGTGGGTGAAGATCATATCACTGTAACACTAGATATCGTGCTATGGGAACTCATCCAAGATGAGATTCTCAGAGCCACTTAAGAGATTTGTATGCCCAGTTCTCATCACAGTTCATGGGAATTGGATGTCCAGATCCACTAGGCAGCTTTGCAAATCTCAGCCCAAGCCAGCAAGGGAGATTCAAATTTATGTGGCAACTGGTGAAGATCTCCAACTCAGAGGTGATGGTGGGAGCTGGGAGCTGCAAAAAGCCCTTAACATCTTATTTGTTAACCTTAACATGCCTTCTTACTTGGAGACTGTAATAGGACTATGCAGGAGCACCAGGCAGCTGGGACAAGTTCAGCACAGCTCATAGCTCCTCCTGGCTTGGCCAGAGGGAACCTTCTTTGGAACATACCTGGCAAGGTGATGCTTATAAACCTCAGTGTGGCAGCACATCTAGGCAGGCCAGCTGCTAGACCAGAGTACCCAGCCCTACTTGATAGGAACACCACATTGTAATTCAATGTGGCAGGGGGAGGGTTGGGTGCATGTTTCACTGAGGCCTCGTGCATTGGAGAGGCCTGGCAATGCATGCAGCAGGAGGAACAGTGATGTCTCAATACCAGGCTCTGCGCAGAGGTGAACAATGTTATGATGGTGTTTCTGGATTACCTGCCACCTCAGACACCTGCTGCTGGCTCCTTGCCAGTCCCCAGCTGGAGAGATGGAGTGAGAAGCCTTTAAAACACAAACGAGTTGCACCACATTCACTCCTGGGGAGCTGTCCTGTTCCCTTCATGGCCATTGTGCAATGCAGAAGGGATGATGCACAAAGCAAACCCCAACTTGTTATATAGGTGGCTTGCACTTGTTCTCCTTCGCCAGTGCAGCACCAGGGAGGTCAGACGCAGCAGGCCGTGGTCCTTGGACACAGGAGTTATGGGTGGAGAAGCGATTGAACTCTGGCCATAGACAAGGTAAGATGTTTCCAAGGGCAGGAGGCTTGGGAGCTGGGGGCTGGAGCATCTCACAGGTAGCTCTGGTGGCTAGGTTAATAGGGAAGAAAATGCTGGAGTGGAGTCCCTGCTGGGCTCCAAACACACTCACCGGATTCCACGCTGATGGAAGTGGGTCCATTTACAGCAGGTGTGACTGGGATCCATTGTGATTTCTGAAATCCCTGGACTGGAGGGGATATGGCTAGGATGGCGCAGGGGGTGAGTTAGGATGCTGTGTCTTTCACCTCGATGACACTTGTTTAGACTGCGCCTAGGTCAGCAATGGCAGAAAGCATGGCAGGGAATGTCAAGTAAGTGTTGGAAGGTGTTTTTACATCTGTATACAGTAGTGAGTCCATTCTAGGGATGCTGTGTCCAGGTTTGGGGTCCACACTGCCAAAACCATGTGAACAAATTTGAAAGGGCTTGGAAAAGAGCTACAAGCATGAGCCGAGGTCTGGAAAACCTGCCTTATAGTGAGAGAATTCAGAAGCTTTAACTTAGTTTCTCCAAGGGAAGGTTAAGAGGTGACTTGATCATGGTCTACAACTATCAACATGGGGAAGAGATTTCTGACAGTAAAGGGGCCTTTAATTTAACAGAAAAAGATGATGAGCTGCAAGGTTGGAAGCTGAAGTTAGACAAATTCAGGCTAGAAATAAGGCACGCATTGTTAGCAGCGAGGGTAATTAATCATTGGAACATCTTACCTACAGACATGGAGGGTTCTCCATCACTTGCAATCTGAAAAGCAAAAGTGGATGTCTTTCGAAACGATCTGGTGAAGCGCAAAAAGACGTTACAGGCTTGACGCAGGTTTTACTGGGGGAGCTATCTGGCCTGTGTTATGCAGGAGATCATAGTAGATGATCATAGAGGTCCCTTCTGGCACTGGACTGTATGACCCTGTGAAAGTGACAACCTCCTAGCTTACCCTGTGAGGGCTGCTCTGTGCATGGAGAGGAATGGGCTGGTGTCTTAGGTGTCAACTTGGCAAAAAACACCCTTGTGTTGGCACTGTCAGTCTCAGCAGGGAAGCAAAGGACCGAATGGGTCATGGAGACTGAACTCCGGCCCCAACCCTGCAGGGCAGGGCAGAGGCATGTTGTAGGGCAGGCATACCCTGCTGCTGCTGCGGGTTTTGCAGCATTTCAGTGATTAAACAGAGGACTGCGGTCTCCCGAGCTGAGAGATGAGAAGAGATGGCATCATACCTCATGGGAAAACCCAGAAAGGGTGGTGGGGCCAACACAACCAGTCTTCAGTGTATGAAATGTTCAGCTGGTTTGTGGAGAGCCTCAATCTTTAGTTTACCTACCTACCTATCTGATTGCACACGCACCACTGTGAATCTGACTGTCCTGTGAAACCTGCTCCCAATTCTCCCCTCTGACCTGACTTCACCCCATTTTTTCACTCTATCTGGCTTTTCCCGTGGTGCGGGAGCACCTCCTTTCTGAGTGGCATGGGCAGGTTGGTAGCTCGTGGCCTGGCTGTACATCACACACACTGATGAGCTTTTTAGCTGCTTCCAGTGAAATCTGGAGGTCCTCCTGGGCCAGAGGGTGCATTTCCTAAATGGCTTGTTGCGTCTGCCATCTGGCACTGGGCAGGGTTAGCCAGCCCTAGCTATGGATTGGCTCATTTTCTCTTCATATTTTGCATTCAGAAACTGTTGCTCCAGGCAGCCAAAAGCCCAAAGCAGCTGAGATTCTTGTGAAGAACATTCTTCCAGAAATGCCTCACCAGAGCACCCTAATATATATAGCACTCCACAATTGTCTCACCCATCCATCAGAGAAGGAGGGGATGGCTGCACCTTTCTCCCAGGGCCAGGCCACCGCAGGGAGGAGAGATGGAGAAGACAGGAGGTCAGTGGGGAGACAGGACAGGGAAGGAGTCAGAAGATGAGGCTACTGTATTTATTGTGGGCATGTGGATTGGGAGTTTGGGGGCCATAGCCAGTTGGAAGACAGGGAATTAGAGTAGCCAGTCAGAGGGCAAGGGAGAGACAATGGGAAGCATAGAATATTAATGACCGGATGTGATCACTGGTACCTGGGTCTAGCTGCTGTCATTGCTATTTGTTATTGATGCCCATCGTTTCTCTTTCCCCCAGGTGCGGAGCATGTGACTGACATGACTGGGATATCTGAGACTCACACCAGCAAGGAGAAGCCCCTTGGTGAGTGCCCCGTGTGCTATGAGAAATTCCACCCACTGGAGGCTGCCCAGAGGACACTGAGATGTGGACACACCTTCTGCCACGACTGCCTGGTGAAGTGCTTGCTTTCCTCCAGGCTAGACGGGCAGGTCCAGAACAATATCATCTGCCCTGTCTGCCGCTATGTGACGTTCCTCAGCAAGAAGGTGACCCGCTGGCCTCCCAAACCAGGGGAGTCCCCCAAACCTGTGGAGCTGGCTCTCTCACCCTCCTTGTTGCCCCACCTAGCAAAGTCAGCGCCAGACAACACCTTGGTGGTCCCCAGCCATTTTGTGATGCCAGTGCAGAGCTATGGCAGGAGTGACAGCATGAGTGGCAGCCCCATGGACTCAATGGCCATGCCGGGCAGCCTGGCTCGGGAAGCCCATGTCTTCATGATCAGTGATCATGGGATGCCGCTGGTGGAGGAGAGCTGTAGGTCAGTGGTTAGGGGACACGGCACAGAGGTGCCAGAGTCAGGGGCATCCATGAGTTCCCTTGGGATGTGGTGCTGCCAGTCACCCATTATACTGGCTGTTCTCCTCATCTTGACAGTTGCCCTGTTGGCGGCCGTGTTCCCTTGGGTCCTGTTGGTGAAGAGGAGTTTCTGAGTGGGACTGGAGAATGCTCCAAACAGGACCCAGGCAGAGAGCTGTGCCTACAACCCAACACTCGCAGAGATACCCAGTGCCCCCAGGTGAATGCCCCCTTCTCTTGGGAATAACCCAGGATCCTTGGATTGTCTGCAATATGGAAATCCTGCAGGCGGCCATGATGCAAATACCTGTGGGCTTGCTGGCCAGTGCTTGTGTGGGAGACCTCTGAGGAATGCCCAGAGGCTGCAGGAAATGGCGCCGCGACTTAGCAGGTGTTGCACTTCCTTCTGACTGAGGGGGTAAACTGGTGCCCCGGTGAGATGCTGGGGGCCATGCGCCAGAGTAAGTGGGCGGGTGGTGCTGAGACAGCTCCGGGGCACAGAGCTGGCAGAGGTGCCGCCTTGGAGCCAAGAGGCCATGCCAAGGACTTGGATGCTTGTGATAAACGCGTTCAGACACCAAGTCACAGGACAGAATGCTGCCCGAGTCACCGTAGAGGCACAAGAGGCACCGGCCTTGATACGTTCGGTGTGATTATTTCGCAGTCCTAGAACAGTTGCCACTAAAGTGTCCGGGATGTTGGTGGTGGACAAGGTTGCCTCAATTAAACATCCTCAGTGATGTGAGTTTGTTAGTCTGTTTTCTCCCTAGTGGACATTATACCCCTAGCGCCCCAAGGTGCTCAGATGTTGGCTCTGGCTGGTTCTGTGCAGTGGGGACAGGCAAAGCCCGTGGAGCTCTGGGAATGCCGCGACACCTTGCTGGGTTACAGACTCGTTAAAGAGCGGGCCTCAGCTCCCCGGTAACTTGAAGTCTTGAGGGTTTTCCTCAAAGATAATTCAATTGAAGGAAAAGCCCTCTAGCTACAGGGCAGCCTGCGCCATGGAGCCAGATCCCCTCCCTGCCCCACAAAGCTGGGCTGGCACAAGGAGGAGCCCTGTGCATGGCAGAGTCTGTATCTCTGTATGAATCTCTCTGCTTGTCTCTGCTGCGCTGCCCCAGCCTCTGGGCCTGTGTGACTCAGACTGACACCATTCACCAGGTAACACCTGACCCCACAGCTCTCTCTGTCTGCTGTCTGCTCCATTTCCCACCCTGGCTTCCTCCCTCTCTGCACCTCTGCTCCTTCTCTAGCAGCCTCTCCACTGGGGAAGGCAAACCCGCTAACGTTTGGGATCCAGCTGGACTGTTGAGCCCACGAGGGCCGACACCAGGGGCACTGTCTGCAGACAGGCAGGGTGAGTTCTCATGGCACTACGGCGCACATTAAGGGGCTCCCCTGGTCGGTTGAGACTCTCTCTGCCAGGCAAGGTGCAGGCTGTTCTCGCTATGGATCTGACTGTCAGTGTGCTACACAGCTGTGAGCAGGGGGCTTGCCACGCACACAGATCTCTCCCTCCGCCACTGAAAAACAGGGATGGAAAACAGATGAGCAGGAAGGAATGCACCAGGCCTGCTGCCCTCTTGGGACCGCCATGTTCATCTCTCCACTATGGTCCAGCTGTCCGACCCCTCACACTGCCTTGGGCTCTGCAGTGGCCCAGGGTCCCTGTCAATCTCCTGTGTCTGCTTGGGGCATGTGAGTCACCTCCCAGTGCAGAGATCTCTCCTGGATTCTGGGGGACGCAGCAAAGTCCCGCTAGGCTGCTCCTGCACAGACACATCTGCCTTTCTAACAGTGGCTGCTCTGTGAATGGCCTCACCGGGGAAGCCTGGCTGTGTGGACAAAGGTGCATTGCTGGGAGGGTGATGATTCTGGAGCATGTTGGACAGTTGCATTGAGGAACTGAAGATAAAAATCCCTGTCTCTTAGCATTCCCCTCCTGCCCCTCAGCTCCGGCAGCTCCTGCCTGGCCACCACACTCCCCGCCCCCTGCCCAGATGTCCCCTCTTCTTTCCCAGGGCCCTGGAAATTCCCTCCCACCTGTCCTGTCTCCCAGATACCTGGTCCTGACCTGGAGAACTAGGGACAAGCAGTGGGGGAGGTTTAGAGACATTTCTGTGAGGCCAGGCAGGGTGTCTAGCTGCCAGGAGGTAGGATGGTTTGGGAATCCCAGAATCAACCTGCTCCTGGAAACCTTCCTTGGTTTCCCTTAAAGGCCCCTGTTCATGGTAGCTCCTGGTCCTATCAAATGGGCAGGCTCCTGGTGTCCTGCCCCCAGTGTCCTTAGGGTTAATATTGCACAGTTTACAACCATGCTGTGATGAATGGAGCTGGATAGCTTCACTGTAAAACAAAAGATAAACTAATCCGCCTTGCCTGGCTTACCTATACTGGTTGCAATATTGGAGACTTGGATTAGGATGGGTTGGAGAAGATGGATTTCTGTCTGGCCTCTCTCAGTCCCAAGAGAGAACAACCACCTAAACAAAGAGCACAAACAAAATCCTTCCCCCACCCCCAAGATTTGAAAGTATCTTGTCCCCTTATTGGTCCTTTGGGTAAGGTGCAATCCAGGTTAGCTGAGCTTCTTAACCCTTTACAGGTAACAGGATGTTGCCTCTGGCCAGGAGGGATTTTATAGCACTGTATACAGAAAGGTGGTTACCCTTCCCTTTATATTTATGACACCCTCTGAGGGAGATCTCTGATCCAGATGACATGCCTCCTCATGGCAGTCTGGTGCTGATGTGGATGTGTTAAACTAGCTGTTGAATTCCCTATTAGGAGCATGGAAACCTCTGAAAGGTGTCACAGTTCTCCAGAGCCATGTAAGCAAGGTCTCTTATCAGCTGCTTGTGTCACGCTGAGCTCACAGAAAGATTTCACTGTGGTTATTAGGCCTTGGTGCAGTGTTTCCACATCAATAAGACATCCCATTAGCCTTTGACTTCATGACAGGGCCTGTCACTGAGGGATCTGAGTTCCTCCCAGTCATTCATGAATCTATCAATTCCTAGTTACCACTCTGCTGTTACAAAATTTCATTGATCCAATCAGGGAGCAAAAACACACCATGTGACCATTCACACTCCATGACCAGTTCACAAAGTAGCTGGAGCCGTGCTATTCCCGCTGGACATTCTGATGCTTCAAAATTTGGTTTCATCCTGTATCGGAACGAAACACTGAAATTTGAAATGTCCCACAAAACACAATTTTCAAAAGGAAAAATTCATTGTGAGTCAACTGAAACATTTCATTTTGACAGGTTTCAGAGTAGCAGCCGTGTTAGTCAGTATTCGCAAAAAGAAAAGGAGGACTTGTGGCACCTTAGAGACTAACAAATTTATTTGAGCATAAGCTTTTGTGAGCTACAGCTCACTTCATCGGGTGCATTGGATGAAGTGACCTGTAGCTCACGAAAGCTTATGCTCAAATAAATTTGTTAGCTTCTAAGGTGCCACAAGTCCTCCTTTTCTTATTTCATTTTGATGAAATCAAAACATTTAGTTGATATTTTTGTATAACCTAAAATAAAAGAAAATTTGACACAAACAGTCATTTCAAAGTGAAAAATTGAAATGTTTTATCCTGAGAAGGTCGAAATGGAATGAGAATGAAATTCTGCTGAAAGCGACACGTTCTCCCGGTAAGTTTCGATGTTGACGAAACAGCATTTTCTGATGGGAAAATGCTCCATTGGAAAATGTTCGACCAGCTCTCGGTATAGGGATCTGCTCACACTGGGCAAAGTTGGGAAACTCTTCATCCAACCTGTTTGGTGAGGCCATATGGGAAACGGTGACAGTTGCAGGAATCGGGACTGATCTGCAAACCAAAAAAGGTCTCTATGAACTGGGCTTGTGGTTTAACAAAGAGGTTTCATCCAGCTCTAGTGGTGACTCCTGTCCACTCCGGAGCTGCTGACACCTGCTACTCTCACGCCCAGTTACCTGAGACCATAAAGTCCCAGTGACGTATCAACCCAGATTCACAGAGGTATTTAGGTGCGTAACACCCATCGAAACCAATAGGAGTTAGGTGCCTAAATACCTTTGTGAACCTGTCTGCTCAGGATCAGGCCCTTTAAACATGAACTCACTTTAAACCGAAGTGATTCTCAGCTAGCACCACCTTACCCCACCTGCTGGGTCCCCGCAATAGCAGACGGCATCAGCATCACAAGCATGTCAAGAAGAGCAGGGAATGTTGAAGGGACCCTGTCCCTTGGCACCTCTGGCTGACAGTGCTGTAGCTGTGATCCTCACACTGAGAACAGAGGCTGACCCCGCGGGGTGAGTGAGACACTCTCTCTTGTATTTCTTGTTGGGTGACTTTGTGTGTGTGTCTCTGGGGAGACTCCTTGTCTCTGTTCCCTGTACAGTCAGTTAGGCCTTTGTCCCTGCTTCCTCCTTGGTCCACTTACTCCACTGGGGAAGGAAATTGAGCCAGCTCCTTCCTGGGGCAGCCACCCTGCTCCTCTGTGCTGACTCAGTTATGCTGGCTGGTGTATGGAGAGGGGAAAATTCCAGCCCTTCCCCATGCCCCGCCCACCTTTCTGGGAGGGGCAGTAGCAGCCCAGCCCTGGCTGCTCTAATCCCACATTGCGAGTTGCAATAGGTGTGCATTATCAGGCACAGGGTGCAAAGGGCTCCCTGCATCCCCTGACCGTACCCTGCCTGATCCCGCAGCAAGAGAGGAAGTTACCAAGCCTGCTTCTACAAACACTTATACACCACACCTCCAGCTTTACTCCCTGGACATGAGTGGTCTACCACATGAGTAAAGTTACACCTACATATATGTTTGCAAGATTGGGGTCAACTGAGCAGCCCCGGCTAAGCATTGACAGGGCAGCAGAAAAACTGCAATAGCTTTTAAACCAGGAAATGACATCCTAACAACCACCTTCTGGGATGGAGCTTGTTCACCTACATGTGAAATAGGGGGCCATGCCTCAGTTTCCCTGTCCTGGGGTCTAATGTATTAAACAGCCTCCCAGCTCCCCACAGAGCCCCTTTTTTGCCCCCATAGGATCAGGGCATTTCTCAGCACTCCTGCTAGGGACTGAGTCCCTTTAAGTCCTGGCCTGCAAACTCTCCCCTCAAGTTTAGGGGGTTGCACTGCTCTC